AAAACGCGACGAGTCGATTTTCAGCAGCTGCCTCCTCGTTGTTGGGGCGAAAATCGTTCGGCGACTGAAACCGCGGCGCTCCAAAGAGCCGATTGCCATCGAAAACTAGCCTTTTCCTACCACAAAAACCGAGGGAAATTCGTGACGAGAGCGAGCAAAAGACGGCGAGAGAGCCGCCGAGCGGGAAAATGCTAAGCAGAGAGCCCGTTTTCACCATGGCCCATGTGACTGGCGCCACTTGATGGGCGCAACAGCGGTGGGGCGGGTATTTTTAGACAGCGCGGGCGGACAGCGCTAAGTGGCCACCGTGGGTTAATCGTTATGGGTGTTAATGCAAAAGAACATTTCTTTGCCAAAAAAATATAATTCTTTATTACGAATTGCTTAGATACTATTTTGTTAAATGAAAAAGGGTCAAAATGGATTTTATATGTTTTATTTTGATAATATTTATGTTGAAAAAAATGTAAACATAACTGAATAAATTATAGAATTAATTTAACAAAAAAAAAATTAAATACGGCTTTATTTTTGCTCCAACTCAAATTTTAAAAGACATATATATGACCTAATAGAAAAACTTTATGTTTTAATAATGTGAGATCATTAAATCGTGCTTTTTTTTCCGCCAATTTCCATCACTGTGCAATTCACCTTATAGTATGAATGAAAATTTCGTTTTCCCATTGCCTGCTCATTTCAGCTTTGTCTAAAATTTTCCATTTACCAACACCAAGGAATGTTTTCCTCTCTTTTTGGCTATTTCCCGCATTTCTTCGCTCTCGCTGGGAAATTCTCTTGGCGCCTGCGCCCTGAGCGAGTTTTTCACTTTTCATTTTCGTATTTTGTTCGTCGCCTATTGTTTTGAGATGTGTAATTGAAAATTCCGCAGGTTAAATGAGGAAGTGACGCTGGTATTCGCTGGCATTTTGTTTTCCATATTTAATTGGCAGGGCGCTGGTCATTGAAAAATCGAAAGCAAACACGCAGAAATATATCATTTTTGCGCATAAATAATTCGAGAATATATTTCGTCCTCAGTAATTTACATTTCCTGTTCGCCAGCAGCCAGCTGTGATGGTTTGTTGATATTTTCGCTGCCATTGTTATTATTGTTAGACTCTGTTTTTTTTGTAATCTCTATGCGTTCGGTTTGTTTGGGTGCACATTTTTGCACATTTTATTTCCGCATGCACACTTTGTCTGTCCCGGCGGACCACTGTAAATAGCATTTGGCACTGGCCCACGGAAAAAGAGGAAGCGGAGGCCCGTCAAGAGTAGCCATCAAGAACAAACAGTCCCAACAAATTGCCATTTCGCTGTAATCGTGTTTGAACCTCATCATTGGGGTTCGAGGTGTTCGAGAAAATTTCGAATTTCAAAATAATTACACGCGAATCCGACACGAGTGCAAGGCATCTCAAAATAAGCACAAGTAAAAATGCAAGGGATGTATATTTAAATGGCTGCCTGTGTGCACTGACTGAGTGAAGAAGGCAAATTTTGATTAAAATTTGATTGTCATCTGGCCTTGATGCTTGACAGCACCAAGTTTGATGACCTCACGCTGATTGAGAGCCCAGAAATGCTGATGGAATTTCAAGTTCAGATGGCTTTTCATCAAAAATTTAGATTGTAAAAATTGCATTGGAAAAATTAATGCAATAATAAATGGGTCAGGCCATAAGTATAAAACAAGATATAATTGAGCTCATTTTTACTTACTATATTTTATTTTAGTATAGAAACTAAGTATAACATATTGAATGCATAAAAAAAATAAATTTAAATGTTAATTGCCGGAATATATCAATGTCAGTATTAAATTATCCCATTCTATTTAAAATGTGAAATGAATTGATAACACAGTGCAACATGAAAAATGTAACCGCAATTCTGATTTCATGGGCGGAAAGAACGCATCGAAATAACTAAAACCCATTTGGGTTTCGGCTTACGCGTTTACCTTTTATAGCGAGTTAAAGTTTTACATACAAAATTTATTTGTAACGGCCATACTTGGAACTGATTAAAATTCACTATCAAGTCTTCAGTGATTATGAGCTAGAACCCAAGGACAAATTGACAAATGACTCTTGCGCACTTAGCACCTAGTGCAACTAGCGCGTTAAAAAACAAATTTGCCTAATTTTTCGATTTTTAACGCGCTAGGTGTATGTCTTCGCAAGAGTCATTTGTCAATTTAGTTCCTTGGGTTCATAGCTACATAGTCACTGAAGACTTGATAGTAAAATTTTAATCGGTTCACAAGATATGGCCGTTACAAATACATTTTGTATGTAAAACTTTAACTCGCTATAATAGGTAAACGCGAGCTAAGCCAGAGAAACCCAAATGGGTTTTAGCTTATTTCGATTAGTTCTTTCCGCCAATGAAATCAGAATTGCGGTTACATTTTATAACTCTAAAAATGTTGCACAGTGTAATATATTATACGTTAATATCTACATAAAATTTACTTTAAGTTCACTTTAAATATTTTTAAATTATAAATTCTTTTCAAAACTAACTGGTTCCCTACGAGGTTCTCCATAACCAAGCGTGAACACTCAGCCAGCTGTTCCCATCTTTCGCGGATTATTTAGTAAGCTTATTTGCATATTCCCAATTAGCAGCTAACCATGAAATCGATGTCCCGACTCTCGGATTCTGTTTAGCCCAAATCCATAATAGATTCGAGTATGCGAACCGCCGCCACCGCTTATGCCCCATTAATTCCCGAAGCTGGCCACAGGAATCGGAATCGGATCACTTCTGTGGAGGAGTCCGTGGGCCTAATTTAATATATATGATCCGGTCGGTCGGTCGGTCCGTCGGTCTGTCGGTTGGTCGGGTCACACATAAATCCCACAGCAAAGCCGCTTGGTAATTGTAAACTGTAGTAGGCACCTAATTTGCGAACTGTTGAGCCATTAGAGGGCACAAGGTGCCAGCAGATCCTTCTTACCCGCCAGACCCCCAAAGTCACCCAATAAACCCACGCAGCACGGCACTTAAGTACACAACTACCCTCACTCAACCTCTCCGCGATTTCCCATCATACACTCAAAATAAATTTAACCCTAAATTTTAGAAAATCGCCATTAAAATTTCTTTTTTCTAAATACAAGAAAGTTATTTCTAAATCTAAGGAAATTTTTCTTAAGTCAAGAAAGTTTTCCTTAAATCCAGGAAGTTTTTCTTAAATGTAGAAAATGGTTACCATGAACTAAAATCACCCTAAAATCTAGAAAAAATGCCCTTAAAATTAGAAATTATTTTCTGAAAAATAGAAAGGCAAACGAAAATAATAAAATATATTGGCAACACCTTTTCAAAAATGAGTGCCCTAACCCTAAAATTAAGCTAACCCTAAATAATAGAAACATTTCCTAAAAGTAGAAAGTTTTTCTAAAAATAGAAATAGTTGTTTTCACATGCTCTGGCACACCAAAATGTTCAATGCCAGAACTTGTCAGCTGCCGGCCAGCTGTACTCGTGGCGCAGACCGTTAAAGCACTTGGTTAGCAATCGAATCGACGCGGGTTCGAGTCCCAGAGCAAAATTTTTTAACTTTTTTTTTAATGTTATTTTATTTTTTTTAATTTATTTTATTTTATTTTTATTTATTTTTTTACTTTTTTTTATTCCTTTTTTATTGATGGCAAGCAGTAAACTAAAAATAATTAGGTTTATATTCAGTTATTTACTATATACTACACATAATATAAATTGCGTTAGCATAAATATATACATATGTATATACGTATGTAAATAAGTAAAACGCGAATGGTCAAAATTATGCAATTAGTATTCAAATGTGTTGTCCGCTTCACCCTTTACATACATTGCTCGGTTTGCCACAGCAAGTTTAAGTGCTACAATGGCCCAGTATGTAGGCCATTCGCTCCTCGCGCGGGAGACCCGGGTTCGATTCTCACGACGGACAAGTAAAAAATTGTAAGTTTTTTTCAAGAACATAAAATATTAACTAATCATAATTTCTACATTCCCAATCTTCCGCAGTCCCGTAGTCCACATTTACAACCACATTTGGCTTTGGTTAGATAAGAAATCCAAGTGCAAATACATAATAATAAATACATAACCTTTAACATTCACAATATACAAGACACACAACGCCTGCATATGTATATAGGGAGGAGTACATAATATAAACGTATATACAAAAAAAATCATGATTGAACATGTTTTTTTGTTTTGTTTTTAATTTCTATTTTTTAGGAAAATTTCCTACTTTTTAGAAATTTTTGCCCTTAAATTTAGTAAAATTACCCTAAAATTTAGAAATATGACGTCAAAAAAAATAAAAAATATAGAAAAATTTGACCCTAAAATTTAGGGCGAGCTTGTCTTGAAGACAAAAGTAGGGCGATTTCCTTGACTTTAGGGTTAATTTTATTTTGAGTGTACACTGAGATACTGGCATTCGAGGAGAACTATTTTTAAACCCCTATTTTACTTGTTTTAAGAAAGATTAAAGATTTTTTAGTATAGGTATAGAACAATATTTTATAATTTTACTTAAAAAAGAAAAATCAGGATTACTTTTTTTTTTTAAATATATAAAATCGATTTTCTTGTTTTAACTCAAAATTTTTGCTAGTTTGATCTTGATAGTTGGAGATAACGTCCTAAAATCCTTATATAACGTTATGGGTATTAACCCCATTTAAATTTTCGTTTTTTTTCAGTGGACCTTTGCCCCACCCATTGTCCCACTGCACATGTTTATGGCTAAGCCAACAAAGCGTTGACTGCGGTTGACCCCAGTAACTCGAACAATGAAGTTGGTGGAGGGGAAAAGACTGGGCAGACGGGGACGGACAGAAAGGACGCCTCATCAGCGACCAAATCCCCATGTAAGCCCCTCAAAGGACAGCAACCCACGGCTGAGGACCCGGAACCAAGGACCGAGGACCGTTCAACTAATTAGCATTAAATCAGCTGTAACAGCAGAAAGTGGGAGCAGGACTTACCTTGCCGAATATGGTTAGGCCGCCATGCTTCATGTTGAAGGTCGGCGCGTCCGCATAACTCGAGTCCGCCCATGGGGTGTGGCAGGTGGAGGTCAGCGTCATATACCGCACCCCAATGGCATACAGGGTGCGCAGCACCGCCAAGGATCCGCCCAGGGAGTGACCGCCCTCCACTCCGGTCAGGGAGCACAATTGCTGATTTTTGTGGGCATCTATAATGTCTGCAAGGCGAATAAAAAATACAAAGTTCAATTTAACATAATTAAATAATCAATGCCTATAAGTTCCTATTTTATTTTGTATGTAAATTATTTTTAATACGATAATTGTAGGATATTCTTTTTTTTAAATACTTGAAGTGTCTTGCTCTTTATTTAGAGTAATAATTGTTTTAATTTTCTGTACACCTAGTTGGGAGTTAAATGAAAATTACAAATCCTTTTTCTTTTCAAGCCATTTGTAATTTTCTCCTTTTTTATGAAAATTGTTTTTATTAAGATAACTTTAGGTTAATTTTCTCTCTTTACTTAAAGTTAATAATTGTTTTAATGGCTTAACTATACACCTAGTTGGGAATTAAATGAAAATTGAAAATACTTTTTCGTTTCAAGCCCTTTGTAATTTTCTCCTTTCTGCAACCTAAACAGATGTGTGGCCGAAATGTTTTTGGGGTTTTGTGGTCGGGCGCAACTTAAACTTCAAACTTGGCTCGGCATTGTTTTTTGGCCATGAGTAACATTTGTTGTTCTGTGGCCTGTCATTTGCTCGCCTGCCCCCATTGAGCACTCAGTGCATTGTGGTTGTTCCAGGATTCTAATTCCGGGTCCTGGGACTTAGCCCTCCTCCCTCCAGCCCTCCAAGCTGTCAGTTTATCCCTGGCCAACAAAACATTTCGCTGGGCCATGCAATATTCACGCTTGTCTTGGTCCGGCCAGCTTTGATCTGTTTCTTGACATTTTATTTTGCTGCCAACGAGCACTTGTCAAAATACTTGTGCTCTGTTCATTCATTTATTACCATTGTTTTAAGCCAGCCAAGCTTGAGTCGTGTTTGCTTAAAGTTGTTGGCCAAGTTTACACTGAGTGGGGGTAAGTACATATTTTCTGGAGTGACGTGAAGTGGAGTTTTGTCAAAAACTTGACTCAATGGTCAGTGGCAAAGTTTTAAGGATTTAAAATAATAATTTTGCATGGAAAATTTGCAAAGAGCTTGAAGGGCTTGAAAGTATTGGCTATTGACTTCAACTTTTTCAAAAGATTCAAATGCTATCCGAGAGGGAAATGTTGTCTTAAGTTTTAAAAGGCTATACAATTATTAGGTACAGAGTAATAATAATTAATATTAATTGATGGCTCAATGACGTTTTTATTCCAATGATAAAAGTACATTTGTATTTTTTAAGCAGGAACGGTGTCATTGATTGATAAGAAAAACATTTCCATTCTAATGGATTTGTCAATCATTGAATAGCCCTTTCGATTTATCTGCAACTAATTGGGGAAACATGTTCCCCGAACCTTTTTCATTTCGACCATAAAATTTGTGCTTCCCAGCTATTCAAATCAAGCATTTTGTGTGCCCAATTTTGATAACATTTCGAATGTATCGCCCACATTCACAAGTACAAAAAAGGCAAACGGAAAGCGGGTTAATAAATTTAGCCACATAACGAAGGCCAAAAGGCATTATTTGCCCTTGTCACGGGGAAGAGAAACTGGCAGCAGGAAAAGGACTCAAGACACACAGGACTGGCGAAGTTTTCATGGCTATAAGCAAATAAGCTGTGGAAAATCAAAAGCAACGGCAGGGGGAAGGAAACGGGAATTGTTCTCGATGCTGTTTCCTATTGCCTGCACTGAGAAAAATATTATTTTAATTTCAAGATGAAATAAAAAAGTTTGAATCCTTTCCGAGCGAAAACAGAGAGCTGTTGTTAGATATATTTTTCAGTGTGCTTTTCTTCGACTTTTCCCTTCTATTTTCCTTTAGCCCCTCTTTGTATTGCTGGCAAAAGCCGAAATACCTGCCACAAGAACCTGGTCGATGTCGGAAACGTCGTAAAACCCTAAAATATGGAGCAAATAAACAAATGTACCAGGGCCAATACCAAAACCAATACTGGCGAATCCTTCTCAGGACGAAGAGGCACTAAAATGCGCCACGTGAGCTGAAGTTCAATTTTGTAGCCAGGACTTTGACTCGGGCTGCATGTAATTGTCTGTGACTGGGGCTGAAACTGTGACTGCTACTGTTTTCGATTTCTGGTGACCGGGGCCGTAATGTATAATAGATGGCCCCCGTATCGGATGCGAATTGAGGCACTGACCGTGGAGCACTCTCTCGCACACTCGAGCACACGGGAAATGCTCCAATACATTTCAAAATGAAAATCCCAACCAAATGCCACTTGACGCAATAAACCAAAAGCAACGGCAAGAGCAGCTCCAGAAAAGGGGAACAATAAAGGCTGGGAAAAGGAGCTGGTAGAAATAGAGATACCCTAAAGGGTCAACATGAAAAAAGTTAAGCTGCGGTACAATATATTTCATTAGATATTTTTAAAAATAGTTTGAAAACTATTCATAAAATTTTTCCATTTATAAAATAAATCATTTTTTATGGAACTTAACCATTGGTGCTGCTATTCTATTTCGCATCTATCTTTACCAATTAAAATGTTGCTTCTCTCCATTTTACTTTTACCCAGCCCTTTCTAAGGAATATACCCTATTGTATTCAGAAAGCATTTGAGTGCCCAGGTTGATGCCAAATTCTCTGTATGCTTCTTATTTTTTCCTTCTGCAGCAGAATGCAATTTTCTCAATATCCCTTTTCTCGAGCTGCCGCTCCTGCTGTTCGGATTGCGGTGCTGGAGCTCTGTAAATTGAAGTTTACACTTTGAAGGTGAAAATTGAAAACTACAAATAAAAACGATTCGCACATGGGGAGAGCCAAATGTAAAGTAGCTGGCTACTGGCAGGTGACAGTCGAGGAGGATGCCGCTACAAGGATATACTGGAATATATATATCCTAAGCGATATTTGTGTGTGGCTGTTGTGTTTATGCAGCGCTCATTTGTTTAGTTGAAAAAGAGACAGAAACTGGTACAAAAAACGTAGAGTGCACTTATCAAAATAAAGTTGAGAAGTTAAAGTAATGAGGAAACGTATAAATATATATTGTGAAAAATTTAAATAAATTGTTTTATAACACTACAGGGTTAAGATTAATTGTAAGCTTTTTTATATAGGTATTTCATACACAAACTTAATTTTGCAGTAGTACAGAAACTATGTTACTACTTATTTTGCTTTCTGCAAATCAAGGTGGTTGGTTGTTCTATAATTCCTAGTTTAAATTTTTCGTTTTTCGCGTTTTGCCAATAGGTACATAGCTGTTGGTATTTATGAATCTAGATATCATTTTATATAAGGTTTTTCCTAGTGCAGCTTTCCGAATTGGATCTGGACTTCAGCTTGCACTCGTACACGGCCAGGGACTTGGACTTGGATTTGGTTTCGCATTCCGGAGCGCACTGAGTGACGTGGCCCGTCACTCGACGCGTTGTGTTTCGGTTCGTTAGGTTTGCATTTTTTACAATCACTTTGGCAGCAGTTCCTCCAGAACGGGACACAGGAGGGACAAGCCCTGGAGTCCTGGGGATCGGAGTGGGTACTGCACGCCCTGCTGCACTTGCTCAATAGTCACTTGGATTCGCATTTTATTTACACGACATGTGAGCGAGAGCGGACAACAATTTCGACTGAATTTATTTGCCGTAGTTAAAATAAAATGCTCGGTTTTATTTTATGCAGCGGCAGCTGGGATTTCACAAAAAAAGGCAAGGGCCGCCGTGGAGGCGAGGCTGTTTATTTTGATTCCCTTTTTATTTTGGTACTTTGCAGTGTGCCAAGGTAGGTCAGTTTTTGTTGCTCTGGGGGGCTTTGGTTTGATTTCTGCGTTTGGGCCTTTGATTCGCAGCTTGTTTACAGCCAGCTCAAAAGGGATTTTGTTTGATTATATGGAAATGTGGCGGGGATTTGCTTGGCAAAGTAATTGGGAGTTTTTTCCGTTGGAAATCAGTTTGCATATTATTATTTGACGTATCGTAGTGGGTTACGAGCTTTCGAGAATTAAATGCTTTTTGAGGAATTTTGTTCGGGAAAGCTTTTTTATTTTTTGGAGATTGGGGATTTTGACTCAATATAAATTAAAATATTGTGAAAAGAAACAGGATTTATCTTTAAGGGAAAATCATAGGAGTTTTATTTTTCGTACTGAGCTTCATGAAAAAGAATATCTTTTTGTGTCTTAAAGTTCATGGATTCATGGAAGAACGCATTTTCCGAAAACAAAAATCAAAAAAAAGTTTTTTTGTTCACTCTAGTATACTGTAGTATCCTCTAGCAAGGCGCACCAGTGAGGTGAAACATTTTAGTCCAGCGTCAACAACCAAAACAGGCGACAGGACAAAAAGCCTGTTGCGTAAACCAATATACGTATGATTTCCGGTGCGCATCAATTTATAAAATCTTAATTGTTACAAAACAAAATAGCTTTATTGTTCAGAATTAAATATATCATTGCAAGCTTGCTATAAAAATCCACAAAGAAGGGATTATAAACCACTTAATTACTGTGACGGTACGATTTTCAAATACTAAATTATTAAAAAGCTTACGATATAAACATAAACAAAACCATCGATATCATTGATGATGTATCCATGCAGTTCGGAACATTTCCGTTTTTATTTCTTTTATTTATCTTTGTTTTTCCATTATTTTTTCGCCCTATCCTCTGCAATTTTAATCAAATTTATTGCTCAATTTGCCACTTCACTCGCTTCACTCAATCCAATTTTCTTAGCACAAAAAAAAAAACACATCAATTAAAAGGAAAATGTTTCTGCTGACTCGGACAGAGAGAAGGAAAAAAGAAAACTGAGGCCATCAAGGAGATTGGCAAATTGCTCAGTCCGATGTTCCGTTTGATCTCCACACAGCTGTCCATATATGCTCCGATTTAATGTTTTCTTTGTTTCTTCTCCTGTCAAAAATATGCATGGGCTTCAGAAAAAAAAAAAAACATCATTAATCCATTCCTCACCCATCGAGTGCATGCGATTGTGCAGTAATATTTCTTTGCTAAAAGTTTTCCTGTTTCATATTTCTTGTTATTTTGTAGATGATTTTTCTGAGTCATGATTTATTGACATTTCCATTTACGGCCACATAAATGTTTCAACGCAAATGCCGGAAGCGATTTGTTAGTTTTTCCCACACTTTTTCTCAGCCATTTTCCGAGTGTGTGTGTGTGCAGCTGCAGTCTCAGCTGCAGCACTAAAATATTGCCAAGACCCAAAGAACCGAGTGAGTGCAAATCAGAATGCAAAACGGAAAACCAACAAGGAAACTCAAATGCTGGCCGGGGAGTCGGAGCATAAGTCAAAAGTTGCTACTTGCAATGCTGCTCCGTTGCTTTCAGCTACGCTCTTTGCTGTTTTCGTACACTCAAATAAATATATTTATTACTAACTGAAGTAAATTAAAAGAATATTAGCGAATATATTTTTTACAAGTAATTTCAGACATAGTTACATTTTTGTATCCCAAATAAATAAATGAAAAATAACAAGAAAGGAAGCTAGCTTCGGCCAGCCGAAGCTTAAATACCCTCGCAGATCATTCCTATTAATTAACAAATCGCAAAAATTTTCCGATCGTTCCTATGGCAGCTATATGATATAGTCGTCCGATTTTGATCAAATTAAAATTGAAATTCGGAAATATTTAAAAAGAGTCATATCCTAGAGTAGAAGATAATACAATAAAAACCAAGGAAGCTAGAATTTATTTCCTATTACTTTTCCATTAATTTTCCGATCGTTCCTATGGCAGCTATATGATATAGTCGACGATTTTGAAAAAATTTTATTCGAAATTCAGAATTAGATAAAAAATGACATTTCCAAAAGTAGGATGTTATAGGTTTAAAAAAACCCAAGATATAATTTTTTTTACATTTTTTTTCCCGATTGTTCCTATGAGAGCTATATGATATAGTGATCCGATTTAAAAAACAAAAAAACCGAAATTCAGAAATATATAAAAAAAAATGTTCCCAAGAGTAGAAGGTAAAATTTTAAAAAACACCGGAGCTAGAATTTTTTTACTTTTTTTTTTTTATCCTTCCTATGGGAGCTATAAGATATAGTTGTCCGATCCGGTTGGTTCCGACTTATATACTACCTGCAATAGAAAGAAGACTTTTGGGAAAGTTTTATCCCGATAGCTTGAAAACTGAGAGACTAGTTTGCGTAGAAACGGACGGACAGACGGACAGACGGACGGACAGACGGACAGACGGACATGGCTAGATCGACTCGTCTAGTGATGCTGATCAAGAATATATATACTTTATGGGGTCGGAAACGTCTTCTTCACTGCGTTGCAAACTTCTGACTGAAATCATAATACCCTCTGCAAGGGTATAAAAATAGTTTTAGCTGATTGGAGTTAAAAAAGTAAACAAATAATTAAGAATGAGACTCAGAGAATTTTTTCCTTAGTCAAAATCTTGAAATTTAGTGCTAATAAATCTAAAAGATATTATATTATATACATATTTCTCTGAGTGATTGGATTTTGTTTGCTATTTGGCAAGTGGAAGCTTTGCGACTGCCACGCCTTTTCTGTTTTCCCTTTGACCCCTTACTCCCCCGCTCACACAAAGAAATATGAACTGTTTTCCTTTCGCTTAAACGAGGCCTCTCCGGCTGGCAACTAGGTGAGTGAGCAGCGTATCAAAGGAAATGGTGCAAAAATATGGCACGCGGTAAGCAGCAGACCAAAAAGCCGCCTCAAGGGCCGCCATCTACTCCGACAAACTGCTTTTTGGTAGCCGGCCAAGATACTTTTCAACAACTTTTGCCCAAGACTCGCGATTCAAAGTTTTCCGGCGTAACCGGCACACAAAAAAAAAAAAAAAATAGCGCACAAAAAAACTAGTGGAAGAAGCTCAGAAACAGTCGAATTCCTGGCTGGCTGGCATTTTTCCAGCTCCAGGAATACTTTCAGTTCCTTGTCGGCTTGAGGAATGCAGGTGGTCCATGCGGCGTATGTGCGATATTTCGGTTAACTTACCCTGTGCGGAGGTGCAAGTGGTTAGCTGCGGGGAATAGCGGTCCGTCAGCCGCTTAATCACATCGATTTGCTCCAGAGTCAGCTGCACTGCATCGCGATGCTGCGCCTCACAGGGGACATAGGCGGCCCAGAACTGAAAATCAAAAAATGTTATACAATATTATATAGTTTTTGCAGCTCGATCATTTATTAAAAACAAGTGTTTGTTATTTAGTGTTATTTAGCTAGTTTCTAATAGCACATTCAAATTTTTTTTTAGTATTTTTCCTATCACCAAATTTTGCACTATTTTTATATTTTTAACAATTGCAAATGCAAATATTTAAAAAATGTTTTGTTTTAGTATGTGTAGATATTGGTTAGTGGAATAAAATAGTAAGCAGTTTATACTCTATTCCTGAAGTTTCTTTACACAACTTTAGATACATATACCGAATTTCCTTCTAAAGTCGTAACGATTTATTGTCATTTTTTCCGGCATCTGAAAGTTTTTTGTTAATTGCACATTATTGCGCAGGATGATATACAAGCTCCCATAAACAGAAACTCCTCAAGAGAGTGCCCAAAAAGGAGCAGACAAGGAAAAATGAGCAAAACAGTTTCATCACGTTATATCATTAAAGGAAAATAAAAGCATGTACGTGTCTCCGTGGAACAGAAACCAGAATGAGGAACGAGCTGTGGAAAGTGGCAAAAAGCGATTCGGAAAAAAGAGCAATTAAAAAGTTTTGGCTTTTTGCTCTGCACACTCGCACAAAAGCGAAAACTGAGCAAGTGCCGTAATAAATAATTTTTAATATAAATTCGTGAGAGGCCTGAACCAGAAACCCGGAAGACGGAAGCCGAAAGCAGGGAAACATACCCTATTTCTCCTTTACTTTTTTCCCTGAGCTAAGCACGTAGTTTTAAACCATTTCTCTGGGCCGAGGCAGTAAATTAAAACCAAAACAAGCAACACTCTAAATGTTCATTTGTTCCATTTCAGTTCTGTTTCTGCAGCTGCAGCTGCTGACGATAATGATGATGATGATGATAAAGTTTGGCGTAATTCATGGAGCTAAATTCGGTTTGCTTCCCAGGTTGGGCGGTGTGCATATGAAATATGTAAAACTTTTCAATAAACGAGTCACAGAAAAACAATTACGGCCAGAGATGGACTGCTGTGTGCGGTGTTAGTTGTGCAATTGGATTTGTGCTCTCGGACTCAGGGGACTTGGGTCAACTCGGATGTTGGCCCTGCATTTGTGCAATTTTAATTGCACAACAGACGAGGAAATTTGTGGATTTCCAAGCACCTGCTCTGCAACTCGCCATCGCCCTCCCTCTCGACCAAATAAACACTGAACAATAACAGGGACAGCTGAAAATTCCGTTTGGGAGGCATAAAGTTTATCCACCGGGACCTGGGAAAACCCATCCTACCGAAAACACATTTTCCCAGTGTTGATTTTTAGTCGGGCTTCCCGGGCAGCTCACTTATGCATACCAGCCCCGAAAAACCCCAAAAATGGTCGTAAGGTTCCGGGAACTGGGGGGCTTATCAGGTGGTCGGAGCACAGGGCATTAGTTCAATTCGGGTTAATTGTACGGACCATGCCGCACTAACTCTGCACTCAAAAAAAAAACAGCCCGAAATCGCCATTAAATCAAGAAATTCGCCATGAATTTCAGTCGATGGTGATTTACCGTATTTTTTAGAAAGGAATTTTCTAAAATTTAGAAAAAAATTTCTGAAAAGCAGAAATACTTTTCTAAAATCAAGAAAAATTGCCATAAAATTGCGAAAAATTTCCTTAAATCCAGAAAGTACTTTTCTTGAAAATAGAATTTTTTTTCTTAAAATAAGAAATGACTTTCTTTATTTTCAGAAAATTTTATTTATTTTAATAAAATGTATACATATTTATTTTACTATTTTATTTCCTAAACAAGAAAGAGAAAAGAAAATAAAAAGGATGAAAAGAAAATTATTAATATTTCCTAAACAAAAAAGGAAAACAAAACAAAAAAGATAAAAATAATAAATATTTCCTAAAGAAAAAAGAGAAAAGAAAACAAAAAAAGATAAAAATTACATTATAAATATTTCCTAAACAAAAAAGAAAAAAGAAAAGATAAAAATTATTAATATTAATATTAAGTAGGTATTTAATATATTACCTATTATTAAAATTTACTTACTGCCAAATTATCAACAATACCTGAAATTGAAATTATTCCTGCAATCGAAAATAAAAATTAATATTAGAGAAGGATAGTATTTGCGGCCTGCAATAATATGGCCTTTGCTTACCATAAATTTTCACACACTTACCAAATTTATATTTAAATTTATTTAAATTGCTTACCTATTAATTGCCTCTTAGAGGGATCGCACTTTAACTTTCTTAAATAGGCTCAACACAAACTTATTACTTTGAATGCTGATCCAAAACTGAGCACAAGGGTTCAAAATGCAGCGCAACGCAAGCCACTCTCTCGCGAGAGACTGCATTTCCAAAACAACAACGCAATAAAAGTTACAGCTACGCACAAGAAAATTCTCGATCATACGCACAAACACACATAAACATATACATACATACGCCAAAAACTGTCGTCGCAACGCGCCGCCGACTAACCCCATGTCTTCTTCTTTTTCGTTTCGAAGAAAGAATGAGAAGCATAACAGAAATACAAAAAGTTTTTCTTAAATCTATGGTGATTTTCTAATTCTACTTTTCTGTTTTCAAGAAAAAAAATTTTTTTTAAATCAGAAAAATTCTTAAAATTTAGAAAAATTTACCGTATTTTTTATGGCGACTTTCTAGATTATAGGAAGGGCTGAAGTAAATTTTTTCTTAATTTAATGGCGAAATCGCCATTAATTTAAGAAAACTTTTGGAGAGGAAACTAGGAAAAAACACCATTGATTTAAGAAAAAAAATCATTTTTCTAAATTTTAGAAAGGTTTTTCATAAAATTCTGTTTTTATGGTCTTTTTTCCTAGATTCAAGAAAACAATTTCTAAAATTCAGAAAATTTTCTAAAATTAAGAAAAAATTTCATTTTATGGCGATTTTCTAAAATTTAGGAAAAAAAATTTTTTGAGTGTGTTCATTACCATTTGCGTTCATTTGCGCTCCTGGATTTAGGACTCGGAATTCGAGGTGTTTCTGTGCTTATGTTTTCCGGGTGAAATAATGAAGCGCAGGGATAAATGATAACATTGCTAATGGTTGTGTCTGGGTTCCGGTTTAAATATCTGTGGAAAATATGATTGCATGGAACATGCGGTATATTCGTCTATTTCTGGTAATTGAGCTAGTTACAATAATTGGATTTGAGCTTCCAATTTTGGAATGAATTAATAATTATCGAATTTTTAACTTAAAAAATATTTATAATCCACAAAAAATTAAAAAATATAAATAAGTACACGCAAGTATTATTTTTATGTTTTATATGAAATACTTTTTATTATTGGTATTACTTGGTAATAAAGGCAATGTCATCGAACTCTAAATATTTCACATATAAATACGTCATCCTTTCCCCGTTTATCGATTAAATAAAACGTCTTTTCCCTTTTTTCCACATTAAAAGCCAAATAAAGCAATTTTCATTAAATGCTTCTTTTTTGCGGCTTCGCGTTGAACATTTCCAGGTAGATAAGAAAAATGCCCCGACATTACCGCAGACAAAGGATTCAGAAGAGCGGGGTAAAAACTCATTTTTTCATTCGCTTTCCCGCCGCTTTGTTCGCGTTATTTTCCACGCGTACTTTGAATTTCTTTGCTCGGCATGTGTCCCTTTTTTGTGGGCGCGGTTTTATCTAATTTTTTTCAGAGCAAAGCCTCTTAAACATTTTGGTGGGCATTCAAACGGATTTTAAGGAGTGGAATGGTGTGAAATGTCTGTCTGGGGTTTTGATTGAAGGCAACAGGTTCAACGTGGCGTAGGCGAAAATTTCAACTTTAAATCGCCTTTTCTCGTGAGATGATTGTGAGGCAGCGGTGGTTTTGTATATGCTTTAAGCTTTTTCACAGAGAGAAAAAATTTGCATAGAAGATAATTTATTTAATTTAAATAGCTTCCTAATTTCGGAAAGCCTTCCAGATCTTTAAAATGGCAGTTATATGAAAAAGCCATTTTGATTTTTATTTCCTTTTTTTTAAATTATTTTTGTTTTATGTTATTTTAATGACCTTGTAGGTACATCTAAAATACTTAGAAAATATTTATACGACGAAGTAAAAGGCTATAAACCAAACCTAGAATTTTAGTTCTATTAAATAATCCGATCATCGTATTACAAATATACTTTGTACAAAGGGAAACAGAGTTTTGCAAAGATGTATAGCTTTTAAACCGAGACTGGTTTACATTCAGACAGACGGTCATGTCTCCTTTAAACTTCTGACTAAAATGATGTTAAATAAATTATGAATAAATAGAAATACAAGTTTTATGTTGCTTACATAATATTTTGAATAATGTCTTTATTTTAAAAAGCTTTTTTATCAGTGCTTACTTTGTTTTCGCTGTTATCATACTTGTTTTTCTCCTTATTTTTCCTTCCTTCTATTTTAAGCTATATTCAGCACTTGCCTGCTGGCATATTCAATGCAACTTGGAATTCTTTTCTTTCTCTCGGGAAGAAAATATTTCATTTATGTTCGGGTCTCCCGCGGCACCTGTTGATGGTTGTATTATGCCATTTTAGCCCACATCCGTGCAGCATTTTTCACATATATGACTTTACAATGGCCAAGTACCTTTGTTTGTCGGGTAAGTCGGGATGCTTTTGGTTCGAAATGGAACTTGGGGTGGCCTTTTGTGTACTTGGCTTTCTGAGGCGCCTTCAAGTGTGTTTAAGCACGGCACTTTGCCATTAGCCCAGTGCCACGCCCACGTCAAAATACACCTGTTTGTCGCCCCTGCAGTGCCATCGTTATCGTCATTATCGTGGCCAAAGTGTCGTCGGCGCCTGGATGGCGTCGCCTTTGGTGTTTCGCCCTCCTCGAACCATCATCGTCATCAGCCTCATCATCGTCCTTGTTCCTCGCCCCATTTCCCATTTCCCAGACCCATTTTCGCCCCCACATCCTGGGCACAAAGCATATTAATATTTAAACTTGTTTGGCGGCAGCA